GGCCTCCCTTGTTACGAGGTAGTCTGCGAACACCTGCGCCTGCAATTCACTTCCCGACAGGTCAGGGCACTGCTCCTGGACTGAAGCCCTGCCGGCGCGACGCGGGTCGTTGGGGCCCGACATTGCGGCGCCAAGTAGCGAAGCTGGGGGCTGCGGGCTGCAACAGCGGGCGGTTCGAAGGGTCTCGCTTGCTCACGCACTCCTGGAAAGGCTCGAAGAGCCCAAGCGGCTACGATGACAGGAGTCCTGGGGCCCTGGGCCTCACATGTGTTTGCATGTTTTGGAGCCTCTTGGTCGGCCAGCCCGCATTTAACGCCATGTAGTCCCAAACCCTCAGGGTTTCCGAACGTCCTTTGGAATTGAGATTTGTTTGCGAACCCAAATGCTGAAAACGCGTTTCCATTGATCCTGGTCCTTGGTAACCTTTGTGAGCCTTTATGAATTGGCACAATGGTATGTTATATGTCAGATGTTATGTCACGGTTGTTATGGAACGATATAATGAAAAGACTAACAGCGCATCGCTAGAGACATCCTTACAACCATCTCGTCCGAATGAGAGCTCGCCCAAGACCCCAGCCACCCCCTCCCCAACGCAAAACAAGATTTTAGAGACCCTAGAACTGGAGGCACCAGCGGGGCCAGCGGGGGCAGAATGTCATCGAATGCACCATTTTGTCAGGCAGCTGCTGCGAGAAACAATGCGATGTGAGAAGTGCACTGCAAGAAGAAACAGTGACAGCACAATAATTCCGATAGGAAGAAGGAGAGAAAGAGTTGGAGGATGGAGACTATGAGAGCGAGACAAAGAGAGGGAGAGAGAGAGCGAGAGAGAGAGAGAGAGAGAGAGAGAGAGAGAGAGAGAGAGAGAGAAAGAAAATTAGGGAGTGAGGCGCTGCAGCCGCTGCGGCGCTGCGCTCAACGACTACGGCGCACCCGAGGCGCGCCTGAAAAAGCTGCTGGCCGCGGAGGACTCCGCAGCTCCTTCCTTGTTGCTGCCGCGGCCGCCGCTGCTGTGCTCGGACTGCCGCCTTCCTGGGCTGCTGACAGTTGCTCGGAGAGATCGATTGCTACCCAGCCTTGCACGCGTGCCACTGCCAGCAGCAGCAGCAAAGAACGGCAAAGAGGAGGATGAGGAGCTGAAGGAGGGTTGATGCACAGGGCTCGGCTCTAAAGATCTGCTGCGCTTTCCAGTGCAAATATCATCAGGCTCTTTACGGGGCGAGGGAATTGCAAGCGACCACAGAAGCGAAAGGCCTGCCATGGGCACGGGCATTGCGTTGCCTGCCTGGTGGGCAACGCGCGCCCGTTCCCGCGGGAAAGTATCCCGGGGCTCGTCATAGCAAGAATGTTCGCCACGTTGTTTCGCAGCAGCAGTCACAGGGAACCCTTGAAGTAGCAGTAATTCTTTGGGAATTAGCCACCTTTTGATCTCAGGCGAATACAGCATGTGAACTTGTCTGCAAATGGTAGGCACATGGACACTGTCACCTGCAGCGTGACGCTTAACAGCACTTTGCCCCAGATCAAACACTCCCGCAGGATGCGCACCCATTCGCAAGTATTTCACCATATTCACTAATTCAAAAAGGCTCATAGAGTCAGTGAAATCTGATAACGTTTTCATATGCTTGGCCTCGTCAAGGATCTCGGGGTTCTCCAAGACATCTTGCACGAACACTTTAGATTTTGAGCAAGCAACATCGCATGCAACATCCACGCTTTGTTTGTACAAGGAACACTGCCGCGCCCTGGACCATTCGAGTTCCATGGCGAGTTCCTCTGCGGTCGCACATAGACAAAGGCGCCAGGTACCCTGCAGGTTGCGCCGAAAAGCGCCTCCGAACACGTCCCACCCCATACTAGGTACTATCAGCTTTTTGTGGACGCCAATCGCGATGCGCCTCTCACGGCGCTGTGGCCAGCCCATCTTTGACAGATCGCACACAACGCTGAATATCGCATATTTCTTACTGAGAGCACAAAAAATCTTGTCCGGGGGGAAGGCCTTCACATTTTCGTTGATAAATATCGGTTCTTCTAGTTCCCATCTCATTGCTACCCATGTCATCGTTGCTTGCATGTTTTCTCCGTCTTCCCCTTGCCGTGCACCCTGAACGCTCCAGTCTTGACAAGGGGACCCGCCAACATGGCAACTAGCGCGACCCAGGCGACACTACTCAGATTGATGAATAGTACACCAGGCACCGACAAGTGCTACGGCCCCCCCCCCCCCTTCATGATTGCTGATGTGCACTCAGACAGATCCCACCATGACCTCGTGTTAGCGGCCCAGAACGAGTTGATATCGTAGAATAAACACTTCGGTCGAGGCTTCATCTGGCAAAGTTCTCGTCTGCATTCCTGGTCATGTTCGATTGCATGTTCAGAAGGCACAGCAGGGCAACCCAAGTAAGACATGATGCATCTAATCGCGTGCTCAGGACCTCCAACGCCAGAGAATGCCGTGGACATCGCGTGCCCGGCCAAGCGACCAGTAAGAAGGCTCCGAATATGTTGTTCTGTCTTGCTCGTTGACCATGCAATCAATGAGATCGAATGTTCAACCCAATTGCACACGCTTGTGATGTCAGAAATCGTCGGCGACGGCGCGCGCGTGAAATCATTGACAATGACAGCAGTTGTTGGAGCAGCAGCGCAGAAACATAGGAAGAGCTTCACTAAGCAATGCAGGACGCATCAATTATGCACAGGCTAGATATGTTTGCACACGTGCTGAGCCAAAATGCTTTACAGTGTAATGGTAACGTCGACCTGTGGCAACGCCAGCCAGTGCGATGCCAGATCACACACACACACACACATTGCGCGAAACGCCATCGAGAGATCCCTTGAGCTTCCAGCGAAACGCCGAACACAACAGAAGCATCAAATCAGAACAATGCTGAATTCAAGTCAACTCAATGCGAGTACCTGGTCACGAACGCAGCGTTGCTGAGAAAGTTCAACCGTCTGAGTGCGTTGACATATCTTGGTTTCTGACAAGGCAGCCCGTGCTGGGCAGACGGAATCTTACATTGCTGATTTCAACTTATCAATGTATAAGTTTGAAGGTACTTAACGAAAGCCTAAGCAGACGCCGCCACTAAATGATTTCATTCAGCCTTATATTTGAACAACACCAGTTGGATGGATTCACAACCTTCAATGACCATCTGTCCGTTGAAGGATGTATTCAACGTCATCCTGCCGATCATCCCTGTTGAAGGATGTCCTTCAACGTCATCCTGCTCACCCTTCTCCGTTGAAGGATTTCCTTCAACAGGGAGGGTGGCAGAGGGTGCCGTTGAAGGATTTCCTTCAACGGGGGGTGGCCTTCAGGGAGTGCGTTGAAGGATTTCCTTCAACAGGGAGGGGTGCAGGGAGTGCGTTGAAGGATGTCCTTCAACAGGGAGGGTGGCAAGGCTGCCGTTGAAGGAAATCCTTCAACAGGGAGGGTGGTAGGGGGCGCGCTGAAGGATTTCCTTCAACGGGGAGGTTGGCATGCGAGGGCGTTGAAGGATTTCCTTAAACGGGGAGGGGGACAGCGAGGGTGTTGAAGGAAAATCCTTCAACGCCCCACCTGCCTCCCCCCGTTGAAGGATTTCCTTCAACGGCCATGCTGCCCCCCCTCCCCGCTGAAGGAAATCCTTCAACGCCCCCCCCTGCCCCCCCCCCCCCCTCCCCGTTGAAGGATTTCCTTCAACGGCCATACTGCCACCCTCCCCGTTGAAGGAAATCCTTCAACTCCCCCCCCCCCCCCTGCCTCTCTCCCGGTTGAAGGAAATCCTTCAACGGATCCCTATGCTCCCCGCATTGTTGAAGGAAATCATTCAACGCATCCCTTGCCCCCCCTCCCTGTTGAAGGAAATCCTTCAACGGATCCCTCTACTCCCCTCCCTGTTGAAGGAAATCCTTCAACGCTCACCCTGCCCCCCCCCCCCCCCCCCGTTGAAGGAAATCCTTCAACAGGGAGGGTGACAGGGAGTGCGTTGAGGGATTTCCTTCAACGGAGGAGCGGTGGCAGGGATGGCGTTGAATGATTTCCTTCAACAGAGGAAGTGCGCAGGAGGGCGATGAAGGATCATTCAACGAGCGAAGGCTGCAGTGAGCACGTTGAAGTAACTATTTCAACACATGCGCTGAAGAATATCATATCACAGAGAGTTGAGTTAGGATTTGGGCCGACCTAGATACCCCAACAGAGTTCGCATCCCATGATGTCTCGAGATGGTGTTCCAGAAACTTTCGAACATAACGATAATTCATGGCATGTTGTGGCGCTCGTCTCTCTTACATGATATGCAGGTACTTCGTCATTGCATTGCGTATTTGAAGGAACGACGTTGTTGTTCCATATGTAAATAACTTTGCCTCGTTGCATTCCTAAAGCAGCGACATCAAACATCTATGATGTCCACCTCTTCCGCCCTCCACCCACGTCACCTTGTTCTC